AGACCCGCCCCAGAGGCAGTCGTTCAGAATGCAGAGGCAATCGATCAAGTGCCAGCAGCACCTGCCAAAAGAGGACGTGGTCGTCCTCCCTCTAAGCCATCCGCTAACCTCACAGCCAAGCCCGACGCCAAGCCCGCAGCCAAGCCCTTTGCCATTCTTGTTGTTTTTTTTTTTTTTTTTTTTTCTATTTACAATTCAACATCCATGCCACCAGCCGCACCAACCTTCAATCATTCAATCAATCAATCAATTCAATCATCACATGTATTATTATCCACAACCTCACCCTTGGCACCATTTGAGACAAGGACGGACTCCAATAGTCCAATCAATCAATCACTCGATCAAACGACAAGGACATCAACATCGACGACATCAACAACATCAACAACATCAACAACATCAACAACATCAACATCATCAACATCTATATCCAATGCGCCGACAGAGCTGAGTGAGACCAAGAGACAATTCCATCCATTGACCAAGACTCAGTCACAAGATTTGAGGAAGAGGATTGAGGGTCTACCCTACAGTGTCGCCAATCTAGAGGTCCAGAAGGTTAGTATACACAGTCACTCTACCATTTCATTGTTACACTGCGCTAACCTTCAGTTACAGCTCAATGTGTTGTGGAAACAATACACTTTCTTGGTGTTTATGGCACAGACCAATCAATACAGAATCACTGAGGACCTATACCTGTCCTACTCCATCCCATTTGGTAATAACTACGTCAACTTGTTTGGAAAAGTTGTTACCTCCTATATCCATGCACAGGTTCTACACGTTGGAACATTCTTACATAAGTATGGGTCGTTGGATCGCCTAGCAAACTTTGGCCTAGAGAATAGACACAAGGTCGTCAAAGAGATCGTGGATGGATCCAATCATCGCTTCACTCCAGAGTTTATGCAATCATTGTTGATAGACTCGTACCTGTCGGGAGGAATGGTACCAAACATAGACGCGATCAGTGCAACCATAGAGGGTGATCGTCCAACCATTCA